ATTTAGATTTCTAACCCCAGTAAAACAAAGAGAATTACAAATATTACAAACCTCTTCTATTTATAAAACAATAAATAGTATTACTAAAGTAAAACAACAAATAAATTATATTAAAGAAGAAAAATCTTATTTAAAAATTGAGGAACAATTACTTTAGGTCTTTTATATTTTGTTTTCTTAGTATATTTTTAAATTTTCTTTTTGTATGCTGATGGTGATTTAATTCTTTTAATTCCAAATGCATCACAAAATGATCCAACTTCCTTGGTTTTAGAACCATATTTTATTTGTAATCTTAATTCTGAACATAACATTAATCCTTCTTTTTTGACAAATGCAAATAATTGCCCAAAAGTAATATTTTCAAATGAAATTACATCTGTTCCCATTTCTTTTTGTAAACTATCCATTATTCTTTGTGAAAATAAACTTGGTAATCCTGTTATGAATCTTTCTTTCCAGAATGAAGCATTTCCAAATGATATTTCAGCACCACATTTTCAACCTAGAAGTTTGACAAAAGAAAAGGAACAAGATTTAGTACAAAATATTAATAATCAAAAGATAAATACTACAGATAATATATTAAATAAAATATCTCAAGCATTACAAAACTTAACAGAAGTAAAACCTTCAACACCCAAAATAAATACCTTAGATCAGATTATAGAAAATTCAACTGAGGAATTAGAAAATTCAAGTGAAGAATTAATAAATTCAGATCTAGAAGAAAATATATTATTACCTATAGAAACTCAATTTGAAGAAGAAGAAGATAATCAATTAAATAGAATAAGAGGAAGAAGGATAAACGGTAATACCAACAAAAATTGGAGAATGGTAAGTACAAAAAATTATTATCCAAGACCTAGTCCTCCAGATATTCAATACGAAGAAAGATCAAAATTTCGTACCACCAAATATGATGGAGATTCAATTTATGAATGGAATATAGATGGAAAAGCTGAATATGAAGTATTAAATAATTTGCAAGAAATGGGAATGGCTAGACTTGCTTATAAAATTAAAAATATTCAAGAAAGAAATATTGCAACATTATTAGAAAATAAGTAATAGATTTAATGTAGATGGACTTACAAGAATATTGAATAAGAGTGAACAACGGAAGCTTGAATTGTAGAAACCTTGATTCTTCTTTATTGAATATAAAAGATGCTTGAATACAAAGGAGTGGTTGAACTTTCAAAAGAGGTAGGTTGAATTACAAAGTAGGAAGGGTTTTCACTGATTTCTGCTCGATGTATTCGCCGATGCGTTTCTTCTGAATTTTGATTCTATTTATAAAGGCTCGGGACTTCTCATTTCATCTTCATTTGAATTTCATTTGTCTTTTGGGTCGACACTTTATTTGTGGCCGACATCTTTTCTAATTGTTCCTCAATTTTTAAATAAGATTTTTCTTCTTTAATATAATTTATTTGTACAGTAGTTTGGTAATACTCGAGTATACCAGGAATCCAAGATTCCAAAGAAACAGGATCAAGTCGAGGATTTTACCACTGGTGGTGCTGGGCAACACAACAAGCAAGCACAACGGCTATACTTCACCAGGGACCTCCAAACATCAGTCCTCAGGGTTTATCGGCCTTCTCGACCAAGCCCTTGCTGACTCGATACAACCGACTCACCTAAGAGGTTGGGTACCCAAACAGTAGCAGTAGTTGATGGGATATCACCCAAACAACTCAAACACAGTCATATATAGAGAAATCAAATCTCATAATAATAGTATACAGAGCCTTATTGGAAAACAAAGGAGGTCGAGTGCGATAAAGTACACGCTCGCCTCCATTTTATCAAAATAGTATTCGGCTCCAACAGTCATAAATCAAGTATTTCAGATATTCAGATGTTTCACATAACGGGTAGCAAGTAGTGGAACACTCACCTGTCAAGCAAAGCAGTAGTCAAACGTCAAGTATCTCCGTTACGACCACCTTCATTTCCCAATCCTAGGGCAACGAGTGAAATCGTTAACAAATTGGATTCATTTCTCACTCAATTGTTGGTTCATTAAGAGACCAAGTGAGTGGTTAAAGCCATTCAATTCGTCATGCAGATGAGGTCCAAAATGCAGTAAAAGTTCATGGGAAAACAAGTTTAATAAGTGCATGAAATTTTGGCAAAAGAAAAGTCTCATTCAAGCTTAGAATGTTCTTTGCGGGTAAAACAGTCGCGCCCGCGCAATCTTGGTAAAATGGTTATATCTCATTGTAGGAAGGTCGAAATTAGGTGCCGTCAACGGCGTTGGAAACTATACTCGAAGGGCTTTCCAATGATACCAATTACACATTCTAGCTCATCTCCTAGCAGTACCAGTAGCTCAGACAAGTTGGCTATTTTTCCAACCCTGGATCTGCCCTCACCTCAAGCAAATCTACATTAGTTCTTGGTGCTATCTTCATTTGTTTTGGTCCAAATTCACCCAAATCAGTCCTCAAATGTTCATATACAAGGGGGTCACATCACCTAGGACCATTGGAGTTCAAAATATAATACATCAACATGAATAAGAGTGACCATAGCAGCCTAGCCATCAAGAAAACCAAACCAGTTCACTAGTGGTCTAACCAACCACTTTACTTGCTTAAATTTCATTCCAACTCACACATGAGCTTAACCAATGTCTAGCCAAGTTTCTTAGGCATGATGAAAGTGTAAATAAACCACAAAAATCAAGAAGAAACCCTTCCTTCTCAAACCAGTCAGCCAAGGAGATGAAAACATTCCACAATTTCCTCTATTCTTCCAACCTTCATCCTTTAATGATTTTCACTTAAACAACATATCAAGTGTTAAATCTAACTCAAAAGAGGTTTTAAATATGTAAATACTTCATAAACAACCATGAACAATGTTCAAACATTTCATCAAACACTTGGTAGGCATACTAACTAACTCAAATATTACTTGTTTAATCCAAGAGATTAATCCCAACTCTCAACCAAACAACTTGTAGTTTGCCATTAAAACTTAAAGTACATGATAAAACACCATAAAACTATCATTTAAAGAATAGTTACCTTTCTTGTAGGAAGCTTGAACCACCAAATCAATCCACCAAAATGAAAGTTTCAAGCTTGAATCAAGTACTTAGGGTTGAAGGAAAGTTTCTCACTAACTCAAGATCTTTCTCTTTTGGTTTTTACTCTTGATCATCTAGGGTTAGAAAGCAAGAATATGGAGTTCTCTCTCTTTCTTTTTGGAGCTATGAAGTTCGGCCAACCTAAGGGAAAGAAAGCTCCAAGATGGTTTAAATTATCTTCTAACCTTTGGCCAAACAAGATCCATGGTTAGGGTTTTGCCACTTGGCCTCATTCTTGTCCAATCCTCCCTTAATCTTTGACTAATGATATTTTAGCCTTTCCAAAAATACCAATACTTATTTAACACCTCTAATCCTTCATGTAAAGTCCTTACCACTAATAAAAGAACACTTGGTAAAATACAAATGGTGAAATATTTAAAACCAACTCAAGAAATTGTTTTAATTCAAATAAAAGGAAATGAAATGTAATGCATGGGAAATGTTATAACACATAGGGAATATGATGTAAAAGCATCTTATAAGTGGTCTAAGTCTTAGAATAAGGCATGTAAATAAGAAAAAAAATAGTGTTTTAAAGTGAGGGTCAATACAAGGGAATTGTTGTAACACATGTAAAATACAATGCTAGGCTTATAATGAATGATTTAAATCTTAGGGCAAGGCATGTAGTTTAGGAAAATCATATTTTGAAGTGAGGGCTCTCACAGATTCACTACCTCAACTTCCTATACAAGATTCTAACCATCATATACCATCTACCCAACAAGAAATACAATTGAAAACCTCAACCCTAACTCAAGAACATGCACCATATCCATCCCAACCAATATAAACACATACAATCCATCACAACAGAAATTTAAAGCATCAAAACTGGAAATTTGTATCACTTGCTGTAATTTTCTCAAACCACCATAGAAATCACCAAATCTTCCATACAAACCCACAAAAGTGATATATAAACCATCATTAACCCTTCTTAGCATCTTACAACATCAAAATCAACATTTCTACTCAATTGCTACAAGCTTTTACAAGAGTTCAAGGCTGCTTTACCTTCCAAAGGTTGGTTCACAAGGTTGCACTTCAAGAACCAAGTTCCTTAGCTTTTTTTTGCTCTAACTTCCAAGCTTGTTGGATGGGTTGCACACAACCAGAATTTTTTCTCTTGTTCTTCCTCTTGTTTCTCTCGGTTTTTCCTTTCTTCTTTTCTCCCAAGAGCTGGCCGAAACTTACCTATTTCTTTGGCTTTGGTCTTGCTAAGAAGATTAATACTAAGTCCCTTGGTCAAAGTCCACTACCTTTTTGATTAGCCAATCACAATTAAGCTTAGGAATCTCATGGAACCTTTAGGAAGTCTAGCAATTGTAATTAACCAAAATACACACTATGGCCCAATTAAATTCACAATCCTACCAATTTACTCCACAAATTACATACTTGATATATTCCAAAAACCTAATTACACCTCAATTACTCCACTAATCACCCAATCACTATAATTACCTATCATAAAATCTACATTGTCATACATAAACTCAATTACATACTAACCTTTTAGTCACAAGTAAAATTAGGGTTTTGATTTAAATTTAAAGTGTCAAATTAAAAAATACAATGTTTTTTTTAAACAAAACAAAAGAAATAAATCGAAATTTTAAAAGAACGAGGGAAAAGCATTGTCCTAAAATTCGGGGTATCACAACTTTGGCCATCTTCGACCTCAGTGTGGCATAAGGCAGGGTGATCCAATTTCCCCATACTTATTTTTAATTTGCTCGGAAGCCTTTTTTGCTTGTTGCAAGAGGTTGTGCTCTGTGGTAACATTTCAGGAGTTCGAGTGGGGCACAATGGACCGAAAATCTCACATTTATTGTTTGCAGATGACATGCTATTATTTGCAAAGGCAACTCTTCAAGAAGCCCAACACATAAGCTCTATATTACAGATCTACAAAGCTGCCTCGGGTCAAAAAATCAACTTGGATAAATCTACCATTGTCTTCAGCACCAACACTGATTCAAGAGTGAGAGATAGCATTACTCGTTTTCTCAATATCAGAGAAGTTCATGCATATGACAAATATCTTTGGTCTTCCCACGATTATTGGTTATTCCAAAAGTGAAGTTTTTGCATCTATTCGAGATAGAATCTGGCAAAAAATTAGTGGTTGGAATGAGCAGCAGCTTTCTAGGGCAGGAAAGGAAATAATGTTGAAGTCTGCGGTTCAGGCTAGTCCTACTTATTCAATGTCATGTTTCAAATTTCTAGATTCCTTGTTATCAAATATCCAATCAATGATGACAAAATTTTTGTGGGGTGATGTAATAAGGAAAAACCTATTCATTGGATAAGTTGGGACGAACTCTGTAAAAAGGGGGGGGGGGAAGAAGGGGAATCGGATTCAAACAACTTCGGGCCTTCAATTCAGCTTTGCTTGCTAAGCAAGCTTAAAGGATTGCTACACAGCCATCCTCCCTTTTACATCAAATTTTTAAGGCCTAATATTTTCCTAACTCTAATTTCTTTTTGGTAGGATTAGGGTCTCGACCCTCATTTACTTGGAGAGGGATATATGAAGCACGTAAATAACTGGTTGCGGGAAGCAAATGGAGGGTTGATAATGGAAGAAGTATCCAGATTTGGAAAGATCGCTAGCTACCTGGACCTCGTTCGGATAGGTTGCCTGAAAATACTACAGTGGATTACCTAATTAATAGCGATAGAAAAACTTGGAATCAAGATCTATTACACTAGTTATTCTAGCCAGATGAGATAGAATTGATTAAGAGTATTCCAATTGGTGATACTCATAATCAAGATAAACTCGTATGGCACTTTACAAAAAATGGATTTTTCATTGTTCGAAGTGCTTACCATCTAATGAAGCAACAATCCGGTAAATGGCAAGACATAGCTTCTGGGAGCAACAGAATTGCAAAAAGAATCTGGAAACGGTTATGGAACTTAACCTTGCCAGGTAAGATCAAGATTTTTTTGTGGCTAGTTTGCAATGTTATTCTGCCTACGAATGCCAAACTCAACTATCAAAAAGTTTTACTAGATCCCTCTTGTGCCCTGTGTCAATCTCCAACTGATGATATGAATCATCTTTTTTTAATGTGTCCAGTGGCTATCCAATCATGGGCGTTGAGTTTTTTATCTAGTAAAATCATGTTAAATTCAGCTCATAATGTGGTATCTTGGTTGTCAAATCTCCTGATAAAGTTGAAGAAGGAATAAATGGAATTAGTTGCTGTTATACTATGGAACCTATGGAATAATCGCAACGGGGCTATATTTAATGGATCTTATAAGGACCCACTCAGTCTAGTATCCTTCTCGTTATGTTTTTTGAATCAATTCCAGGAAGCAAACAGGAATCCAATGACTACTGAGCATACAACTGCAATTCAACAATCTGGTTTGTCCCAATGGAAGAGACCTCCCACAGGTTATGTCAAAGCTAACTTTGATGGGCTGTCTATGCTGGTGGTGACATGTCAGGTATTGGAGTTGTTATTAGAGATGCTGAGGATAATTTCGTGGCAGGATTAACCAAACAAATTTCAGAAATTTTTGCTCCAAAGGTCATTGAATCTTATGCTGCAAAGGCCACAGTCAAGTTGTTGTTGGATCTACATTAACGCATGATTATTCTTGAAAGTGATTGTCTGAAGTTATTAAAACGATTCAAACTACAGAGACGGATGCATCAGCTTGTGGAATACTTGTAGATGATATTCTCATAGATATACAAAGCTTTGCAACCTGGGAAGCATCATGGATGCCTAGAAAGTTGAACAACGCAGCACATTATTTTGCTAAATATGCTTGTTCTATTTCTAATTGTTGTATATAGAGGGACTTCCCCCCAGATTTTATTGTTACCGCACTTGCTGCGGATATTATCTCAGATTAATAATATTTTAGCACTTTTCTATCAAAAAATATAAAAAAAAAGTGTAACAGGATATCAATTTTTTAGACAAGAAATTAATAACGTGGAACAAATAGCATCAATTTAACATTGTAAGGCCCAGTCATAATAAAAGTGCCAATTATTTAAAAAGTGGAGTGCACCAACGTCATTGTTCCTATACTACTACGAAATTCCGAGGTTGTTTGGGATATAGTAACTAACTCCAATTCTTTCAAGTTCCAAATTTTAGAATCGTTCTCATTGATCAAAAAAATATACATATAAAGATTTCACCTACAAAACAAAAGGAAATGAGTTGATCCTAGCTCCTGGTTTATGTGTGTGTATATATATTTTAAGTTAGGAGGTGGAGAAGGGGGTATTTTTATAGTGAGGATAAACAAATAAATAAATGATCTAGAGAAAAAAAATGCAGCCATCACCAAAAAAAAAAGAAAAAGAAAAAAAGAGGCAATCATAACATGTGAATGAATAGCATCAATTTACCATTTGTAAGTCTTAATGAGAAATTCAATTAATATGAATCTTGTTAATTATATGTATGATTCCCAATGGATCCCAAATCATACCCAAGTATTCCCATTTTCATTTGGGTTTTTGTATGGAATTCATACCAGCTAAGGCCCAAGCTCAATTATCTTAGTCCATCCCGCACAAAATTCATTTAGGCATGGATAACTCATTGAAATTTGAGATCCATTGCCATATCTAATCATAATATATCAGGCACATCTAGGATAACTCATTGGAATTTGAGTTCAATTGCCATATCTAATCATAATATATCAGGCACATCTAGGCATGGATAACTCATTGGAATTTGAGTTCAATTGCCATATCTAATCATAATATATGAGGCACATCTAATCGTAACATATCAAAACGATGCTATAGTAATTAGTTGCATATGTAATTGAAGAGTACAAAAGATCATGCTTTCGATTATGAGAACCTTGTAATCTTGCTAATTCTGATAAACCTTATAATCATTGATTCCGATGAACCTTCACTATGTTGCTACGTTTTATTGTAGTATTTGCCTTGTGTTTAGCATTGATGTAAAGCATATTCTTGCAGATTCTTTAAGATTCATTGACTTTCCAAAACAAAGTTGTAATCACAAAGCCGGAATCATTAGCATGCATATGCCAAAAGACCAACATTCAAATATAAAAGGCCTTACTAATAGAATTATAATCAAGTATAGGAAAATTAGATGTCCCTTTAGGAACCATACCCTCAATTTTTGTCCCTCAATGATGATGGTGATCTATTTTAAATGGTTAAAATTGTGACAGTTTAAGGGTCAAAGATGCTTATTTCACCATCCAATGGTTATTTAACTTAATCTACAATACCTAAGAGAGCCAGTAGAATGTCTCTCAAATTATAAAGAGGCATTTTAATCTTTCCTACATCGAGAGTGTCTATACTATTAAATATTAAATGAATGACAACTACGTAAAATTTAAATTTAAAATTCAACTTTTAAACATATGTCATAAATTCAATAATAATAACGTATATACAACTAGTATGTATAAAATTTACTCTTTTTAATTATAAGTCATACTACATTTACTCCTTTGAATTATAAGTCGTACCAATGCATCAATCGAACATGAAAACATACTCTAGCTATAGATATCAAACTGGCACCTCTAAAACATCATCTTATACTTGATTCTTATTTGTTTTTCAAGAATTCTAGTTATCCTAAAACTTTTACATGTATGTCATGAATCCAATAGTAGTAATATATACTGCCGGTGTGTATAAAATTTACTCTTTTAATTATAAGTCGTACCAAATTTACTCTTTTTAATTATAAGTCAAACCAATGCATCAATCGAACATGAAAACATACTCCAGCTGCAGATATCAAGCTGACACCTCTGATTCGATATATAATCCTAAAATGTCATCTTATACTTGATTCTTATTCGTTTTCCAAGAGTTCTTTAATCGTCTTCTTTTGTCTCTGCTCCAGTAGAATCAAAGATGTGCACCATATAATCCGGCCATATTTTCAGACAGAAATATACATCATACTCTCAGCCATGGCAAATCTTCTAGCTTGGAGAAGACAGCTATAATTAGAGCAAGCTATAAAGTCAATGATAACCAGCTATAATCTTCTTTTGCCAAAGTTGGAAGCTTGTACCGTCATTCAAACAGTAAGACACATCAAGACTCACTTGGAAGAACATTAAAAAAGTGATACACCTCTTCCTCATCGATGACTCCTACATCTGTTGAACAAACCGAGCAGCAGACAGGCTTAACTGCTTCACCAGCAACAGAATCAGCTTCAGTCTCGGAAGAAGTCCCGTGTCTTCGGCCCCTTTTCCGTTTACTTCCAGGTTGTGAAACTTGATAGCTCTTAATCTTACAATTGATCACAAAAACTGCTCGGTACTGTGTTAAATATTTTTCATGCCTGTAAAGCTTTCAAGTTTCAGGTGGTTCATCTTGACAAAAAATATGGTTAAAATGTATAAAAAAGAAGAAAGAAACCATAGCGAAGAAAGAGGTTTGCAACAATTAAAATGAATGTAACTTCGTAAAACTAAAAAACACCTGATAAATACAGTATAGTTGTGATATATATTCAAGGCCATGTACAAATCAAGCAATTGGCGGGTAAGAAACTCAAAAAAAAATAGACCGACCAATTTGCCTAGGACAAATTAACTGCTCCTGAGCAAAGTTCGATAATTTCTCAGCACTCTTAGCAACAGATGCAACGGGCTCAAACTTTATGACTAAAAGATACAACCAGATAACACACCCATCTATCAATTAAAGAGACATCATCAGACTATATATGCAGGTAAGACCTAATAGCATGACAACTTTGGTCATCCATTAAAGACAAGCAGAACTGAAGTCATGTACCTTACATACCAAGGCTTTCCCATGCAATCATATGAGAGAACTAGCCATTGAAGAAAATTCAGCTTTTTCTTTGAGGAAGTAATACAAACTCCAAGAGAGGAGAAAATTTGGGGAATGGAATTCAGTGGGACAGAAGTTTAGTTAGGAAAAATTAAGGGAAAAAAGGAAAGAGTGCCTTTCACTAGCATTAAATGGAGCCAAAAAAAAAGAATAAAAAGGAGTTGACCTTAAGCCTTTTAGTTGATTTATAGAACTAATAGTGTTAGACCATGTAGAGTCAAAAATCTAGAGGTCATGCAGACAGTTTGATGATAACAGTTTGAGAATAACATACATGTTGAACATCAGGAATTACGAGTTATTTGTGTAAACATTCTACCATAAGCATTTTAAGTTTAGTCACGCGACATAATCCCATGGGCATGGATACAACTTCTGGAAAAAATCAGTATTTGCTTACCATGAAATGGAAGAAACAGTAAACACGTACCTGAAAGGCCACAAAGAAAACTCCTCTGTTAAGGGGCAGAGTAGTGCTGTGAAGAACATACTGCCCCTCTATTATATAGATGTCAGGAGCTTAAGTAAATAATGCCAGATCTACCTATTAAGGGCAATATATTTCATGACTAGCTAAATGCTTCTTGACAGAAACTTATAACAGCTCAAATTCGGGTCATTAACCAATAGAAGCAAAAGCTCATTGAACACGTTAACATTGTTCAAAAACACTCTCATAAACCAGAGATATTTTCTAAAGGGAGTAAACTATTCCATAAAGAATGCATATAATTTTCTAATGAAGTCCAAAAAGTTAGCAAGCACACAGCTCACAATGCCTCAAACCTACATTAAACCAATAAAGAAATATTGATCCATTTACTTATCTTCTCTGTTTCTTCCCAGCTTTCTTACTTGAAGCAGCAATACTTGTCCAAGGGGTATAACTGTGCAAGCAAGCACAACTCTAAATGGTAAAGAGACATGAAGACATTGAACACTGGTGCTTGTCTAAGGGGTTTGTGATTGTACTGGACTGCTAATATGATCTAAAAGGTAAAGAGATATTCGCAGGATCTTCTAAGGGTATAGTGGAAACAGTAACTTATTGATGCGCTAGTGCTCCACAGACCAGCACGGTACGTGAAGCAAAACAATGCTGCAGATAATTGGGTTTTTTCTCATAAAGAAAAACCGTCTTTGAGAATTACCAAAATAAGGAAATCTGGTGCGAGTTTATTTTCATCAAGCAAGGGCACATATAAAAGTGTTCGACAATAATCTATTCTTCATCAAGTTATGGGAGAAAGAAATAGTTTTTACAGTGCCTTAAAACCCCATCACTTGCTCAAAAGTCATTACAGATTTACTAGGAGATGATTTTCCAATTAAATTATGAGGTTTAGGGGCTAGTCTTGCGCCAGATAATCAAAGAAAAAGGTACAATTTTTGGAGTCCTATTCTCCAAGAAAGAAAAGCCACCGAAATGAAACATGCCAAACATATTTGTTTTCCTTAAAATCATAAAAGCCTGATGTAGGATGTCAGAAGTTCTAAGTTGGCAGTAGTCACCCAACCAACATTTTAATACACACTTTGGAGCAAATCATCAGCCATCTAAATGATTTTGTTATCTTAAATCATCAATTATCCAAATATTTTTACCAGCTGAAAGCTGCACATATCAACCAACAAACAATATTGCCATGACTTTTTATACTTCTTGAAAGTAACGTATCAGCAGTATCCAGTAGAGATTATGTAAATGTGTATCACCAAATCTAATTTATCAGATTTCTATTGCTTTCTTCCTTCGTCATGCAACATTCACAATAGAATATTTGATCACACGTTTAAGATTTTCGAAATATTAACATGGTCATGGACATGACAGAATGACAATGTGTCTCTTCTCTAATTCATATTTCACCGTTTAATTTAATGTTTCTTGGACGATACATACAGTGGTTATTTAGCATTGTTCATAATTGGCCAATGTCTAATGATTTTACCATCTAGCTTTTAGATTCTACCCATTTTTGTCTTCTACAGAAGAAATAAAATTCCACTCCTCCTTCAAACCGGCTTGCAAAATTGTGAGCAGAATACAGTTGGACTATTATGTGACAAATGAATGTTTTCACACTTGCTATCCTTGAAAAACTAAAGTTGTATCTCTTGAAAGAACTATGAGCCTCCTATGTACTCTGCATGAAAGCCTACAAATATATGAATGAAGACATCCATTGTAGATTCTAAAAGGTAAGAAAAACTCATTTCTACCATTTAAAAAAAAAAAATAGTTCTTGTAAAGCTTCAAATTGAGGCTCTCAACATCCAAGGTCATGCAAGGTTTTTTTCACCAATAGATACCTGCCTATTCAATTCCAGCATTTTGATTATGATGTGCTGACATGACCATCTGTCCTAAAATGAGGAATTTTAAGTCCTAGCAATCAGCAACCAAGTTTCAAATAATCCTTAACCTTTCAAAACAGTGACAGATACGGACATCCAGATTTTCAGAATCACAAACTTCTTAAATGGGACATTATATCCATCTGCACCCAACTCTGTATCTATTATGTAGACCTGCTTCTTCGTGGAACCACATCTTCCATAAAGAGAACTTTAGACCTTCTGCACACTACTTAGCCTTATTTCTCCACATGGACAGTGCACAAGGTAGATTGAGGAGGCATATCATAACTGGTTTTCCTGTGAATAACAGAATAGAGTTTCACTCTTGTTTTGGTATCCATTTAATGTTTAGGATTTTAATCTTTGGAAATATCTAAGCTGGTAAATTCATAGATCTCCTAAAAAGGAAGCTACAGGTGCGCAGAACAATCTACCCTTGAAAGCAGCACAAGCAGAAAACTTTGGTAATTCCATTCAATGGCCCAAGGAGTTGCAGGACATCTATTATTCTTGTCACTGTTTGACCTGATGCAAGAAACATGGAGTATTAAAGTCAAGTATTTGTTAACCTGGTTCATCTATTCAAGTTTCCAGACACTAGATTCATAACCAACAAAGTACATCCAAGGTAATCAATCCAAGGTTTTTTTCACCAATAGATACCTGCCTATTCAATTCCAGCATTTGATTAGGATGTGCTGGCATGACCATTTGTTATAAAAAGAGGAAATTTTACATCCTAGCAATCAGCAACCAACTTTCAAATAATCCTTAACCTATAAAAACACTGATTGCAATGAACCTCCTGATTTCCAGAATCACAAATTGCTTAAATGGGACCTTATATTTGCCTGCACCCAACTTTGTCTCCATTATGTAGACCTTCTGCTTCTTCAAGGAATCACATCTTCCATAAAGAGAACTTTGGACCTTCTGCACACTACTTAGCCCTACTTCTCCACATGGAAAGTGCACAAGGTAGATTGAGGAGGTATATCAACTGGTACTCCTGTGAATAACAGAATAGAGTTTCACTCTTGTTTTGGTAACAATTTAATGTTTAGGATTTCAGTCTTTGGGTATATCCGAGCTGACATATTCATAGATCTGCTAAAAAGAAAACTACAGTTGTGCAAAACAATCTTGTTTTGAAAGAAGCACAAGCAGAAAAAACTTTGATAATTCCATGTAATGGCCCAAGGACTTAGAGGACATCTATTATTCTTGTCATTGTTTGAACTGATGCAAAAAACATGGGGCATTAAGTTCAAGTATTTGTTAACCTGCTTCGTATATTCAATTTTCCATAATAAACTAGAATCATAAAGTAGAACCATCCCCATGATGACTTCCCCATTCTGGGTAGTGTCAATGGGATCGGTCCTTATACCGAGTCATATACAGATCTTCTGTAGTACCCAGTCCTATAATCTGATTCTTCAATTAGTTCAAACAGTGCCTAAGGAAGCATTTCCCCGCAGGAAAGGTAAGTTCCAAGAATTGATTTCATTCCCGTATTCTAAGATCAAACATTTCAAACAAGATGTTTAACAACAATAAAAAGTATAAATTCCGATGACAACTTTAACAATAACTAAAAATACCCCGAGTATTTGAACGTCTAGTTATTATGACAAGGCATCGATTGTCAACGAATAAAATTCTTAGGAGATTCTAAAATTTCAGTGCAGAAGAAACAAAATAGAAGAATTTCAAGCTAATGCATACAAATTATAGAGCTTTTGGGGATCATAAAAGAATTGACATGGTAAAATAGTTGTTTAAGAAAATATAGCAAAATTCAGTGCCCATACAACATAGAAAATAAGCAATTTAGCTCTTCTGAAAGTCAATTTCAAATCTCCAATGTTATTGTATATATATGTATGGAATTAACAATTCTCTCTGTCATCTTAGCATCTTTGTCTTCTCTAGTCATAAAAATCTAATATATGATTAGCTGCATTCCACTTAAAGATGTTGCACTTGGCTTTATTCAATCCGCTGCACTTATTCTAAAACTGGTCATAGCTCAACCAAATCAAGAAACATTACCTGCACTTTCCTGCCTTCTATTTGATCCATTCCATAGAGAACTCTAGTGCACTATGGCAATGGTCATGTTGTCTAGCTAACTTCAGACCTTGATTTCAATTCAAAAGATATAATAAACAGACCAAAAATACTCAATTTGTACTAAAGCACAAAGTCATCATCATTGTCTTGCAACAAAATTGTCAGTAGAGTGTTCCACATGCTAGATGCCAAGAACAAGACACCATCCTTAGGGCCTCATGAACATGGCATGGGCTAGTGTCAATACAATTCTGTCATACTTCTTTAAACTTAAAAACGCATGATCTGAAACCATTTCTGGAAAGGGATTACCTTCAAACTGTGAGGCTACATTTTATTCTTTCTGGTGTCTTTGGCTGATATTTATTACACTCATAACTAAGCTGAAAATGCAAATATTTGAGTCAAAATATTAACACAAGTTATTATTTGTTAGAATTGCAAGAGTTCACATTGTCAGGCTCCTTAATTTTCCACCAAAATTGGGCAGCTTTCAGTGGTCAAAGAAAGCCCAAAAGAACATTTACCTTACCATGATTTCATCTCATATTCCAGACTTGACCTAAAACTATTGTCAACCTTGTACATATGAAAAATAAGACCTGGTCACTAACAATTCTTAAGTCGAAGCAGATGGCATGGCTAGTGAAGCTAAATATTTAAGCATCCTAAACTTAAGAATCTAGGGTTCCAAGTTTGACTTTGTACCAAGGTTTGATTGCACTAAGAAACCTAATTCTCATCATAGCCTACTGAACCTAAATGACTTCATGGACAGCATATGTGAACCATTTGAGCATCCATCAAAACTCCAAAAAATCCCTTTGAGCTTTAGAACGGTAAAAGAACACAGTAATAAAAGTAAAGCGGTAAAATAATCTAATATACTTTAAACTAATCACTGCAACAGCTACAAAATCCATAGATCCATCATTTCCTGGCTCCCATACTGCCTCATTAGTTACATGTGTCCTGCATCAAACAAGTAATCCTAGACTCCCGATGTCAGTAACCGTGTTTTTCCATCATTGCATCCACAACAGCCAAAAATAAAATATCATATAAATGATACTGCATGTAAAAAAGAAAACCATTGCTATAAGGACAAACAAATTAGCATCTAAATCCTTAGGTCTACAGAAATCAATAACTGGTCATATCAGCATTTGAGATAGTACGAAATCTTGTAAACTGGGTGCAATTCAAAGTAAAATTCCTCTTACTTCCCTACCAACTTCAATTTCCAAAATCAAGTTCCTCAAAGTCCAAACTATATGATTCTTGGAATAGCTCTCCAGATGAATTCTTTCTGCTCTCAACACAAATGCCACCTCTTTTAGCTCCCATTCTTTGTTTTCTTAAGTTCTCTTATTACACTATTCTGTTTCAGCGACATAAAAAAAAAACTCAACTTCCTTAAGATCCCCGTAAGACGGCTACCAAAATCTTCACTACCAAAACTGCAACTCGCAAAACAAATTCCTGCATCAACTATCGTTTTCTCTGATGGTTATACAAACACTCGAGATTCTTTTTACTTGCTTGGACGTTGCATCACCCAAAACATCAAAAACTACGGACAAAAAACTCACATTTTTGTATTCATAAAGAAATTTAAATTTTACCGAGAAAATTCTTAGGTAGCGTTGAAGGACCAAATACTTAAGTAGCATTGAAGGACCAAAAATCTGCAGACTGACATATGCATAAAGGTCATTTACCTTTGACAATCTAAACAAAGGGTGGTGAAGCAAGCAGGGCAGCTGAGGACAGCATCAGAATTGTGGCCTTTTCTTTTCTTTTGAACCCATAACTCATCTTTGTCATCAAGATTGGGGTCATAAAATTCTGGCTTTATTGAGTAATCTATCTCATCATCATCAGAAACTAGAAAGAGAAAATATTAAAGATTTAGAGCGAAACCGAATAAAAATTTGTCGTTCAACCTGAAAGTTCTTATTCAGCCAAAAAAAAAAAACCCAAATTTACTAAAAAGCATTGAGATTTTAAAAAATTTGAAATGACTTCTACCTGTTTGCTGAGACTCAGTTGGAGAGCCTTCTCTATCTTCTTTCGGCTTCTCTTGTCCTCCGTTCATCTCTTCTGCGTCTCTCTGTTTTGCTTTTTTTGCTGTATTTTCTGCAAGTTTGGCTGATTTAAATTCAAGCTTGTTTAGTACAAGAATGGGATCAAGCAAATGTAATAGACAAAGAAAGATACTTTAAAAAAAGAGGAGTATTTTAACAATTTTTTATGGTACAAAAGCAGGAGGAAAAGTTTTGTCCTGCAAATGATCCACATCAAGAAAAACATTTTCAGGCCAAGCATTTTTTGGGACAGTCGTGAAACTTGAATCAAGGTTTAAGCTCATTAACCTACATTACGAAAGATTAGACATCACAACATGTTAACCTTTTTCTTAGGCATAAGGAAGACAAGAGGGGACTAACATAATACAAATATGAAGTAGACAAAGAATATGAAAATCTAGCACAAATGCATGAAGGAAAAAATTTATGATCAGTTAATCATTCAATGGCTCAGTAAGCAATTTGTTATAACATTCTCTATGTATGACATATGGACTAAATTGAGGGTGGCATGATCTTGTGCCCGTTTTGATATGGAACCAAATATTGCATGTGAGCTTTGACCATAATTATGCCAAGTGTAAAGATGTTTAAAAACCATAGACACAATCAAGCATGAATGGACGAGCCTCACTTATACTTTTCACTAGCACTCTTAGCTTTCAAAAGAACAGGTCATGAATGTAAAACTATTCATTATCTAGTCATCCTCAAGTAAAATTGAAATTGAATACATTATCTTATACATCATAGCGGCCTTTTATAGAATTTCTGGGACCATCTTGTCCAGTTATAGTAGCTGATGGATCAAACTACATGAAGCAGTGTATAGCTTATACCTTTGTCAACTAAACATTAAGGTAGCTTCCTTGGATTGACTGCAAAATTAAAAGCATTCATAATGCCCTGAACTGGAATCAATTAAAGTACTCAAAATTTCTGCTGAATTAAAATTCTGATCAGGTTAAATTTTGTGCTTATTAGAAAACAAGAGAGATAATTTCACACAAAAGAAAGACAGAAATTCTATGTTATTTTCATGTTGTCACAAGGACAAGAAAACTCTAAGGTTGTATCATAGAATTAGTATTAAAACAAATTGAAAGCTAATTTTACATTCCAATAACCAAGATAATTGAAAAAATGGCATCAACTGCAAAATGAAACCCTAACCATTCTAAATCTTCTAGAGAATGAAGCACCAGTGGCTAAAGGTATTTTCCCTCTAAATTTAGTAACTTGTAGATAGGTGTGAAGGAAAAGTCAAATAATTATAAAATACTCCGATAAAACTAATGTTAGTGGATCAAAAGATGATCAAACTTTTACCATCTTGTAGTCAGATCAGATTCACACGACATCAATGGGTTCTAAGCTAAACACTTTACTTTTGAAATGCTTTTTCTAGATACTAGTACCAATCTTACCTAAACTAACCAAACTGTATTGCAGAACTTTGCACTACTAATTACATGGAATTCGGTAGCCAATTACTTGTCTAAAACATGTTTCTTAAAAACTTCATAATGGTGTATTTCATTGAAATCATTGAGCTTCGAAGTCACCGGCAATTCTTACATGGCCTGGTCAAGCACAAGTGAGAATTATGTTTGATGACCAGCTTCATTATCTTATAGCACAAACCGATGAAGCCCACTCTAACTAGAATTCGAATGTTCTTTTTATTTTCCTTGTGTAATTTTACATACCCAATAATCCAAATATAAAAAACAAATTATTTTAATGATAGTTTTGTTTTCCTTAGAGTAATTTTACATACCATTAGTCGAAATACCAAAACAAGATTTTTCCTACGCTTTCTACCAAACAATTGGTGACCATACTCAATGTACCCAAATCCTGCATACCACAGGGTTGAACCGATTCTTAAAAACAAATAATAACAACCAAAATTTTCATCTGCCAACAATTCAAAGGGGATGAGGAAGGTCAATACTAGAGCAATTAGAAAACTTCAAAAGAAAGAAATCAAAAGATTTTACCTCTTCTCTTTTCAACAATAAAACCCACCCGCTAAACTACTACACAATCCTAGCTGTAAGAAGACCAAGATTAAGGTCACAACAACAGCCCCAAAATCAGCATCACCATGTAGGATTAAAGAATGATAAGAAAAACAAATTTTAAGACGAAGCAAACAAGCATGTACAGAAGAAATAATCCATCTTTGAAAGGAAAATCGGGTAAGGAATGAGAGAATACCTCAAAAATGGCCTCCAATTCTTTATAACTGTGATATAAAAAGCTGAAATAAGGGATGAGATGAAAGTGTAATAGCCAAATTTGAGGTCTTTGAGGCTTCTAAATTGTGTGAGAAAGAACGTTCTCAATCTTCTCGATTTTTGGGTAAATTTTGTCTGTGAGATTAATCACAGGTTTATCGTCGAGATAATTTTAGAAACTTCTCTTGACATTTTTTAACAGTTTAATTGTCCCATCCTTCCTCACTGCAGCAATAATAAAAAAATAATTTCATTAATTATGCTGTTTCTATGTAAATGACAGATTTTCAATTTAGGAAAAATTTAAGATTTTTTACTTATAATTTCCCTTACTTTATCTTTCAACCCATGCATCCTCCCACGTAGAGCTGCAAGAGAGTCGAGTCGAGTCAAGTTTTGAACTTATCGAATCGAGCTTGATTTAAAAATAGGTGGATTCGAATTCGAGCTCGAGCTCGACTGAAAAACACTAGCTTGAGTTCGACTCGATAAGGCTCGCGAGTTGAAGTTCAATTTTTTGTTCGTGAGCAGCTCGAATTTTTGACTCTTGAACAGCTCGTTAGCTCGAATTTTTGGAATTAATCTAACAAAAAACATCATTTTATCAACTTATTCCTAACCAAATTATGAGCATAATCATAACTTACAATTCATTGCTACAATTGACTATAATTTTTCACATGATCATAATAAAAAAAAGCCTACAAATTTTTCACTAAATACAATCATAAATTTAGAAATACATGCCACATAAATGTCTATAATTTAAATGCTCAGCACTTCATACAAGTTCAACATTCTCGGTCACAAAGTTCAATATCAGAAAATAAGTAAATAACAACCAAAAGCAGGCCAAGAACTTCTTGCTACAGAAACATATTGAACTACAAAGTACAAACTAAGCATAATCATTGAAGTCACGAACTTCTTCTCTTCCTCTGATCAGCAACAGTATCATATTGAACCTGGATAAGTTTGAAGTATTATGTGAGCCAATCTACAAGTACAAAATTGTTTTTAGGATGATTAACTATGGCTGCTTAAATAACAAAGCTGAAATTATTTGAAAATTTCATTTTCTTAAGATGTAAAACTCAAAGATTCTGATATAACATTAGGCATCAAAACCAAAATGGCCGCCAAAATCGTCTCTATATGTCTCACAGTTTCACACGCACCAATAAGCTGCACAGCCAAGAAAATCTTGATTCTATATTAGACTAATTTTGAACCTTAAGATTCATAGATACCTGCTGAAGATGCAACTTTACCAACCAATGGAGAAGTCGGATCTCAAATAATGGGATAATAAATCCATTTATCATTGTTTTCATTTCCTCCACCTCCAAAAACTTTCCGCAGCTTGTCACTAAATCAACTAGATGGATAATCTAGAATCATGAAATATTTCAAAGAAAAATGTTATGAAAGACTCTCTTAAACATACACAGCAAGAGTAGTTAATGGAACCACATTAAATGGTTCATCTTCAAGTATTGAAGGAAACATTCTAATGCCAACATCTAAAATTTTTTCAAATTGGCTTATATATGCACATCAAAATATCAAAGCAAGATGGCTAAGGGCCGCAAAGAGTCACAAAGTTTTAGACAATCTACAAAAATAGCATCTAAAAATCCTGCCCAGAATTCAACTAATGAGCAGCCCAAACAATAAATTAAACAACAGCTAAAAATCATCTAAAAAAAGGGAACAAAAGCAGCCAAATAACTTCCATTTTAGTTGCAATGAAACCAGCCACCAAATAGATCATATACACATATAAAGAAACCAACAACCAAATGAATAAAGAGACCAATAGCCAAAAAACTGAGAATATAGATTACCTAAAACATGAAAAAGTTCAAGGAATAGGCAATGAAATCTCTTGTGCTGACTTCATTTCTGCAAAGTAAAAAAAAAATAATAAAGACCAAGATTAAGCCAACTATAAAACATATTGTAATAGATGAAATAGTAATTTACAACATAATTACCTTATCCCTTTTTTTCACCCCGTGTAGCTTACGACACCAATCCCCAGCACACATCAACATTTCCACAGTTTCTGGAGCTAAAGAAGCACGGTAGGAGTCAAGCACTCTAGTTCCAACACTAAATGTCGCTTCCGAAGCTAAGGTGCTAACAGGAATGGCTAAAATATCAGCAGCCATCTTAGGCAAATTCTTGTATTTTGTTGTGCTTTTCCACCATTTCAAAGCATCTAAGTTGACAATATCCAGGCTCGACTTCTCCGTAGCACTAAGAAGGCCATCTTCAAAGTAGATATCTAGCTCATTCTTCTCTGGTTGAACGGGTTCCACAGTAGGAATATGAGATAGAAATTCACACATTCCAGTAACGTGTGTCATTGTAGAGGATGAACTACTGCTACTCTTGCTAACTGGATCATTTGTCACTACTTGAGAGCTTGCTCCAGAATGTCTTGAACTTGAAACATGCACCTCCACATACTCAGCATATAGATCATAGAATGCTTGCCAAACTTTGTTTATATTCGCTTGCACTTCATGCGGAGGATATATCAATGGAAAGCAGTAGTTGATAACTCGCATCTTGAGCCTGGGATCCAAGATGGCTGCTATAAACATCATCAGATTACACTCACCCCAATACTTGTCAAATTTCATCTTCATCTTCCAGACCATTAATTGAATAAAGTTGAGTTCATCATTTGCTTTGCTATCTAGAAGCATTTTTATCCGACAAACTTCATTTAAATATAAATTAGCTGTCGGATAATCACTCCCAGATATTACATGAGTCACATTCCAAAAAACTCCTAAAATACTGCACA